AAAAATATAAAAAAAAAAAAAAAAAAAAACTCAATAAAAAAGAAAAGAAGATAAATTAGAAAAAGAAAAAATAGATTTATTTTTTGCTAATGAATATAAAAAATTTGTTATATTAATCAAAAATAAATTAGTATAAATTATTTAAACAACCATTTTATTTTTTTTTTCTTTTAAAACATGAAATTCATATACTTGTTATCTTTATTATTCTTTTATCAATATTAATAAATAACTCATTTTGCGTTTGTGGGTGTTGTAGTTTACAAGGATATAATATCATTTCTTGTAAAAAAAATCCTTATCCTAATCATCAATCTAATCAAAAAGTTTGTCATTGCAGAATTTGTGGAAGAACTGGTCATGATAGAAGATCATATCTAAAAACAAATTATAGAAATTATTTTTAATATTTCTATTGATAAATCTGCTAATAATCAAAACAGAAGCTATTAAATATTGTGGAATATGTGGAAGAACAGGTCATAATAAAAGAAAATGTCCATTCGCATCTACTGCAATAGTACCTTTTAGAAATCAATTCGATATGATGAATTCTTTCAATAATGCTCTCATATCTTGGCAAAATAATGCTATAATACCTCAAAGAGGTTTAACTTTATTTAATCAAAAAATAAATAGCAAATCAAAAGATTGGGAAATACCTTGGTCAACACATAAAATAATTAAAATGCGTCCTCATCTAGGAAAAACCTGTAATAAATATGGTAGTATGGGTCATAGACATAATCCTAGAATAAATAGTCCATGTCCTGTTCTTAGACAACAATTACAAAATCTATAAGGTATCATAAATTCTGTAAAAAAATATTTCGATAATCCAAAATCAAATATGATGTTATGTAGATATTGTAGTGAAATTAGTCATTCTTTAAGAAATTGTATTACTTATAATAGAGGTAGTAGAAATATGGGTGTTTATCTTTCTACTCTACATTAGAATCAAATAAAAAGAGATGTAGAAAAATTTAAAAAGGAATATGGATTAGAAACAAAACGTATTCCTCAATTCATATTACAAAATCAAAATCTATTAACTTTTTAAATGTATTTAATAAAATTATCAATATTATTTTTTTATTATTATCTTTTGTTAAATGCCAAATTCTATATTTTTTTAATCTTCCATTACCTTACCAATACGTAAATCAACCACCACCATATTTTTTTATAAATATACCAGAACAACCACGTGTTTTTAACAACAGACCCAAAATACAAAGGCCAAAAATATCTAGAAGGTCTAAAATACCAAATTATATTGCTGCTTGTAGTTGTTGTAGTGGTAAAAATCATAACTGAAATGATCCTATATATCCATATCAAAATGGTAGAATACAAGCATGTTTACATCCAAGAATAATTAAATCTGCAAGAGAAATAAGATTGTGGCATATTGAAAATAATATACCTATACCACCACATCTTGGTAATAGTTCTCCACCAAATATACCTCCTAGACCTCCTGGATTACCTCCTCTTAGTCCTCCACCACTTCCTCCAAGACCTAGTAATGGGTTTCCTCCTCCTCCACCATATCCAAAAGGACCTAGACCTATGAATAATGGAAATCCTCCTCCTTATGATAGAGCGGAGATGATTCAACCTATCCAAAATCAGATTCAAAATTTACAAAATCAACTTCAAAATCGTGATCAAAACCTAATTAATTTAGTCACAAGATCTGAAAATAGATTAAATACTGTCTTGAATAATATGCAAAGAAATATACAAAATGAAAATATTCAAATGCGTCAAAACACATTTAATTATTTTAACAGAATAAACCAAGAAATAAAACAAAGATTGATAAATACAAATAATCAAATAAATCAAATATAACTTAATACAAATTTAAGATTCAATAACCTGGATGATAGCATAGGAAAAATAAATACTAATACACAACAAAGATTTAATACTTTAGATAATTATTTAAATATTAATCTTAAAAGAATTAATAATAATATTAATGATGGATTTAAAGAATTAAATAAAAGAATAAATTATAATAATAACATAATCAACAATAAATTAAAAAATATAAAAACTTCAAATGATGATATTAATAAAAAAACTATTCTCATAGAAAAATGAATAGGTGAAACTGATAATACAATCAGAAATATAAGAAATACAAGAAATAATGAACTAGGTAAAAGATTAATGAATATAGAAAATACTTTAAATGCACATATACAAAATAATGATTTAATTGAAAAATTCAGAAATATGGAAAATTTTTTAAATCTACATATAAATACCCAAGATACTATATTAGGAAATATACAAAATATAATACAAGTAGATCATAGTCAATTTGAAATATTATTTAATAATTTTCAAACTGATATGCAAAATTTTATAAATAACTGTCTTGATACATACAAAAGAGAATCAATACAAAAATTAATTGAATTTCAAAGAATATTTGAAAATTAACAAAATCCAAGAATTTCTATAACTCATGAAAGATCATTAAGGATAAATCATCACCATCCTTACAATAGATTATCTGAAGGAAGATTTTCTAGAATAAACAGATTTCCAAGAATAAACAGAAATAATGATGAATCACGAATTGATACTCTGAGAAGACAAAGTGAAATCATAGATAATTTTATAAATGAACAAAAAAAATAACTTTTGAAACTAAAAATATAGGAGGAGAAGGTAGTAGTAAACTCATATCCGAAGAAATAGAACATATCAATAAACAATTAACAAATAAAGAAAAAACTGCTGTAAATATTCTACTTAATGATAATAATAGTATAGAAATGATACAACATAATCAAAGAATTGAGGCTGGTCCTTCAAATACGAATTTAATAAATGAAGTAACATATACAAATCAAAATGATGATAATGATGATTTATTTGCATCAGAATACATAACAAGAAGAATAATGTCAGCAGAAGAAATTGAA